TGAGGGCTCCAGAGCTGGACGCAGGACTCCCGGGGGGGTCTCAGCAGAGCGGGGCAGAGGGGCAGAATCCCCTCGCTCGCCCTGTGCCCACGCTGCTGGGGATGCAGCCCAGAGCACGGTTGGCCTGCGGGGCTGTGAGTGCACGCTGCCGGGTCATGGCCAGCTTTTCATCCCCCAGCACTCCCAAGTCCTTCTCGGCAGGGTTGCTCTCCATCCCTGCATCCTCCAGCCTGTATTTGTGTTTGGGATTGCCCCAACCCCTGTGCAGGACCTTGCACTTGGCCTTGTTGAACTTCATGAGGTTTGCCCAGGCCCACCTCTCAAGCCTGTCCAGGTCACTCTGGACGCCATCCCTTCTCTCCAGTGTGTCGACCGCACCACACAGATTGGTGTCATCGGCAAACTTGCTGAGGGTGCACTCAATCCCACTGTCCATATCGCTGACAAAGTTAAACAGTGGCAGTCTCAGTACCAACCCCTGAGGAACGCCACTCATCACTGGTCCCCACTATGACATCAAGCCGTTGACCACTAGTCTTTGAGTGTGACCATCCAGAAAATCCCTTATCCACCTAGTGGTCCACCCATCAAAGCCATGTCTCTCCTATTTAGAGACAAGGACGTCATGCAGGACAGTGCTTTGCTCAAGTCCGAGTAGAAGATGTGGTCCTCACGGGGGTCTTCAACGACCCAGGTATCTGTTGGTGGGACAACACAGCAGGGCATAAGCAGTCCAGAAGGTTCCTGGAATGCGTTGATGATTGGTGACTTTCATGAGAGCACACAAATTATATGCAAGTTTGTTCTGGATGTTTTTATTTTACCAGCAAGAAGTAAAGTAGTAAAAGAGCTATAAGTGTGGCAGATAATATCAGCATGCATTTGCACTGTAAGCATGGTGGGTTATGGGGTGAAAGGCTCGTCTCCTCAAGCATGAAGGAGCACAGAGGTGTGATGGCTGGGGAGACTCTAATGACCTGCTCAGAGGCAGGGACACCTCATCCCACTCCTCCTGGGAAAGCATCAGCCCCATGATCCAGGGCGATATCCTTCGAGAGGAGTCAAAGCCAGAGCACCTCTGGGACGGAGAGTCGCTGCTGCAAGGTGTAGGACTCATGGCATGCAGAGGAAAGGTTCTTGGGGATTGCACTGGACTCATGCAGTATGATAAAATGCGTATAAAATACCACTGAAGTGCTTTTATAGGGGGGAAAACATCCATCTGAGGTGATTGCTTATGAATGCACGAAGTACAGAAAGCAAGCCACTGATACGAATAGTAAAACCGAATCATCTGAGATGATCCCGTCAACACCCTAAGCATCTCCGGCTGAATGCAGTTTCTGCTGAATGCTGCGGATGAAGAGGAACTCGTTCTGCAGGCCTGCAAAGAAAAGAGGAATCCGTTGAAGACATCTGGTTCCTGGTAAATCTGTCACCTTTCCTTGCTCCTGAAATAATCCACCACATCCACGGAGTTCGTTTCTCCTATGGGGTTCAGTTACCGGGTGTTCAAGGTTTGGGAACTGGAGCGCAACAAGAGAAAGGTGACTTGCATGATGGGCAATGCCGCGAAGTCCTGTTGTTTTGCTCCCCCTCCCTGCCATACCTCCAAAACAGGGGTGCAGGACCTGGGGTGCATGCACTGCACAAAAAATCCCCCCTCCAAGCTGGTGCACCGGGGCCGTACCTGGCAGCTTGCTGTTGCGTTGGTCCCACGTGCAAAACACGAGGCTGAGCATGTCAGAGAAGTCTGTCTCCATCTTCCTGATGATCTCCACCTGCAACCATCACAAGGCCGAGCACATGAGCAGGGGACAGGGCTTGGAACCCCTCATCCCACTGGTCCCCCAGGGTCCCCCTGTTACTGCCTGCTGGGGCTGAGGAGCTCTCAGATGTAGACACAGCAGCTTTGAGCTACGCTCAAGCCCAACTCTTTATTTGTTTGAGGATAGGAGTGATGGAGTTGCCAGTTAGGGATGACAACTGCTAGTCAAGTTCGGTGTTTGTGGGCAGACCCTTGAGTACGGGGCTCAGACCCACATCAGTGCCTTAAGCTAAGCTGGGTCAACACTGATGAATGGCTGTAATGGGTTAACGACATTAATAACTCTTCTGGGCACCACTGGAGGTGACTCCCGGGGCAAAGGCAATACCAGCAGTGGCGTCCCAGTGTATGCGAGAGCCTTCCAACGCCAACGTCCCACAAGGAGATGCCTTCACATTACCACACAAGCATTCGCCAGATCCTTTGTTGGGACGTTGCCCTCTACCCCCAAACACTGTCCACAGCGGTAGAGAGGTCTCCAAGGAACAAGAGGTGCACAACTTACCTTCAGTTCCTGGAAGTGATATCTCATGTTCTCCTGCGCTTTTTCAAACATTCCCTTTTCCACCTCACTCTTTACACCATCACTAAGGATGGTTTGCATCCTCTTGCTGGCTTGGAATCCTCCTTGCCTGGCAGCATCTGTGGGTAAAGTGGCCACTGTCACACTGAGACCCAGACCCAAGATGCCCATGGGAAGGAGGGCCAGTGGTGTGGTTTGGGAAAGCAAAATGCAGTGCTTCACACTGCTGTATTGGAGGTGATCCATCTCCAGGACACTTTCCTGCTTAGGCTTGGATAACTGCCCCAGCAGTCCATTTTCAGAATTAATTAATCGAGTAATTAAGGTGTCTTTCTAAAGCAAACATGAGTGACTTCTGGATTCTGGGTTTTTCACTTTTTCATTTTCTAAGTATGCCATCTACTGATGGGAAAGGAAGACGGTAACAAATTCTTGAGCTTATTACTTTGGCATTCTAAAGGGGAAATCAAGGATGTCCTTCAAAGACAGACAAATAAAAACTAATTAATTACAGAAAAAAAATCCCTAGTTTACAAGAATTAGTCAATTAGAGCAAAGCAGGCAGCTAATGTTCTGTGTATGAGCATGATCTACTCTGGACTTCAGAAGGCTCTCTGAGTTGATGACCAAGTAATCCTTTCACCCTGTGGATTTCTTCCCAGCCTTTCAACAGGCAGACTGTAAGCCTGGACTCTTCTTCTGAGCCTGTATCGGGGTTATTCTATAAAAATCAAAGGAACCTTCAGTATAAAATGAAGAAAAGATGAAGTGACTGGTCATACCTTCATAGTATGGCAGCAGGTCTTTTTCAAAAGATGTGGTAAGGGAGTGGTAGATTTCTCCTTTCTTCTGGAGGATGAATTTTTCAGCCTCCCTAATGATGAATTCTGTCTGCAAGAATAATTTTAAATGCTTGCCACCATCACTTTGATCATAAAAAATTATCTACGCTAACAACCTGATAATAATAATCTCATAAAGACAAACTAAACTAAAGCATGGGATTCAACAGATGAGTGGAACTGTTGGTGCTGGCGGGCATCACCTCTCCATTGTGCTCTGGCTTAACACGGAAGATGGCCCTTCTAACTGAAAATATTATTCTATTCTATTCTATTCTATTCTATTCTATTCTATTCTATTCTGTTCTGTTCTGTTCCGTTCCGTTCCGTTCTATTCTGTTGTCCAACTGGGAAGTTTTACGCCCAGATACAACAAGAAGTACACGGATTCCACATTTTCCTCAATTCCATACTCACTAAAGAAGGGGTAGAATGTCTTATATCTCCCTTTCTCACATCTCCAGGACCTTGAAACAGAGATAACCACCTCAACAGGTCCTACAAAGACTGTGCTTTCCCCCTGTCCCCTCTTCTAGTGCTCATTTTTGCTTGCACAGCCCCTCACGGGCATCCACCCTCTCCCCTCGCAAGGCGAGCGCACCTTTTTTTGCTGAAGGAACTTGAGCTTGCATTCTATGTCAGCCGTCGGGTACTCTGCCAAGGCTTGCTGCAGTTGCTGCTGCATGGTATCTTTGAAGGAGTCAAGGCAGGCTTTCAGTGTGGAGCTGTTGCCCATCTGGATCCTGTTGGGGTAATAGATTCATGGAGGACAAAGAAAAGGGCATCCCCACACTGCTGGAGCAGGAAGCCAAGGGAAAGACACAGGAATGCAGGGTGGGACAAAGCAAGCAGAGCAGCACGATCTCCACAGTCACAGAAAGAGGAAGCTTCCTTTAAATAGTCCTGCCCCTGAGCACCACAGTTTGTCCCACCTTCTCATTAAATCTTCCTTCTAACTGCTCGCTGTGTAACCTTGCCTCACCCTCTCTGTGAGTACTCATATAAATATGGGTGGTTCGTCAGCAAACACCAAGGTGGTCTGGCTGGACCGGACTACTCACAGCAGCCAGTTTGGCTTTGACTACAAACAAATCCGGTTTTCTGTAAGGTGGTGGGAAAGCAAACAGGGCTGGGCACTCGGTGGCCAGGCAGGTAGACGTGAAACCATCCACCAAAGCTGGCAATGCTGCCTGGAGAAGATGTGACTGGCAGCAGCAGGGTTTAAAGGGCAGCAAGTCAGTGGTATTGCATGGATGTAAAAATAGGTGACAGCCCCAGGGTGTGTACGAAGTGAGAAGATACCCTGGAGGAAGGCATCCCACTGGGCAAGCCTCTCTCCACAGAGCAGCAATGCCAGGTTTCACACCATGCTTCAGGGAAGCACAACTTAGAGGCAGGCTGCAGACGGGCAATGAAAAGCCAAGGCCTACAAGGAAGGACTGAAAACTGGGATTTGTTCAACCATGAGAAGGCTGAAGGGAAACACAGGCCAAGGTCCTGTGCAGCCTGCTGTGGGTGACCCTGCTTCAGCAGGGGGTTGGACTGGATGACCCACAGAGGTCCCTTCCAACCCCGAACATTCTGTCATTCTGTGATTCTCTGAAGAGGACACTATGAAGTAGAAGCAACAGCCTATTTCTGTAACCTTGAGGAATAAAAGAGCTGGGGCATTAAGGTGAGATGCTAGGAGAGGTTTTCTAGTGCAAGGGTTCATGAAGTGATGGAGCAGGTTCCTTAGGGAGAGTGCAAAGTCCTCAATACTGGAGGATGGACAGAATCACAGAATAGTAGGGGTTGGAAGGGACCTCTGTGGGTCATCTAGTCCAACCCTCCTGCCGAAGCAGGGTCACCTACAGCAGGCTGCACAGGACCTTGTCCAGGCGGGTCTTGAATATCTCGAAATCCATGAGAAATGGGCTGGACCCACCATCCTGCTGTGGGGCAGGGGATGAGCTGTGGCATCTCAAGGTCCCTTTCTGTACCCTTTGACTACTTGCTAGGAAGGGAGTCTCTCACCTGAATACGTCTCCAAAACACAAGTCAATTTTTTCATAGATGGGCTGAGCCAGGGACTCGTTGATGTCTATCCGGAGGAAGATGCGGGATACGTATACCCCGTTCTTCAGGCACACAGCTTTCAGTGTCCTGTGAAAACCCTGGTATCCGTGTTCTCGCTGTGGGATGGGAAACACGGAGGAGTTAGGCACAGGCAGGACTGACGCCCGACCATGATCTGCACTACACAGCAAACCCAGGCAACCTGAGCTCCAGGTATCTCGAGCTTGCTCTAACCTGACTGTACCGTGTTTGTTTGGGATAGAGTTCATTTTCTTCATGGCAGCTTGTATGGGACTGGGGTTTGGATTTGTGGTGAAAATAGAGTTGATAACACAGGGATGATTTAGTTGAGTGGCTTGGGGAAGAGTGTCTGGAGAGCTGCCCAGCGGTTCGAAAACCGTGTGGATGTGGCTCTTCAGGACATGGTTTAGCAGGCATGGGGGTGTTGGGTTGATGGATGGCCTTGCTGATCCTAGAGGTCTTTTCCAACCTATGATTCTATGATTCTGTTCCTGAGCAGTGCTTGCAGAACACCGAGGCCTTTTCTGCTTCCCACCCCACCAGCGAGGAGGCTGGGGTTGCACAAGGAGCTGGGAGGGGACATGGATGTGACAGCTAACCCCAGCTGACCCAAGGGATATCCCAGACCATATGACATCGTGTTCGTCAAAAAAAAAACAGGTGAAAAAGGAGGAAGCGGGGGCATTTGGAGTGATGGCGTTTGTCTTCCCAAGTCACCTCTACAGAGGGGTTAAACTGCAATGCAGATGTTTAGCAACGAGCCTTGCGGACGGAGAAACGCCCTGCCTGGGCACGCAGGTTTGCCTCATGAGGGTGCAGGAAGCATCATGTCTCAGCATGTTCCACAGCAGCCACCACAAAGCCACCGTCATAAAGCTGCTTTGTACTTTTACAGTGTTTTATCCCATGGCTCGAGCGTCTGAATTGGGCTTTCACAGGCAGCACATTTCCCTGCCTTCCAGGCCACTGCTTTGGGCACCAGCCTACAGATCAGGTTTGCACTTGCTCTGCTCGAGGGGTGTCATGCTCGACCATCCCACACGAGATGAAGTTCTGCGAGGAGGGAGCAGAGCTCTGCATCGCAGCCCCAAGAACGAGCATCCAAAATGCATCGAGGCGGTTGAGTTTGCGTTCAAATTCCAGGCAATTCAGAAAGTAAAAAGCAAGTCACGGACTTCTGCAGACCCCTAAGGTGCTGCAAGGGACTCCCATGGCTAGCGTGGCTCCTGCCAGGGCCAGCTGCCACCCAGCTAAGCCTTCCTACAGGGACAAGCAAAGAAATGCCACTTGCTGGTGCTGGGAGGTGTCTTGACTTTGAGCAATGGTACCTTGAGCCTTGGGCAGCAGCTGAAAGGGGCTGTGGAGGATTGCTGGTGGAACGAGAGCATTTCTGTCCCCTCCGTGCCCCTGTATGGGTCTGGGACAGATCTTAGCAGCCTGTCCAAGGTCATTCAGGGACCGGTGTACTGATGTGCCCCATCTCCTGTATCAGCCCTCTCCGCACCCAGCCAGGATCAGAGACATGCCGCTGAGCTGGCTTGGATCTAGGGCCCCGATGCCACCCAGCCCAGCAGAGACTCCCACCTTGGAGATTTTCAAAGCTGCCAGGACAAGGTCTGGGCCGGCCTGACCGAGTGTCGGTGTCAGCCATCACCGCAGACCTCCAAGGGTCCTCCCCAAAATAAATTCCTCTAGAGTTCCAAATAAACTGCGTTATACTCACAAAGAGGATCTTTTGGATGTTTTCCTTGTACAACTGCTTTGCCTGTTCTACACCTTCCTTGAGTGGCTGTTCGATAGGCTGAAAACATTCCTTAATACCTTTCTCCAAATCAATGATCTTCTGCTTAACTAAGGCTTTCAAGCAACTTGCTTTCACGTGCTGGTGCTGAAACGAATGGACAATGGGGGGGAAAATCGGTGAACACCTCGTGCTGGAGGCAATATCAACCCAACCCTGCAAGCGTCCCTGCAACCAGTGCAACCAGTGCTACCCATGTTCCCCCATCACTTCCCCCAGTCCAGGGACATTGCTTAGAAACACCCAGATGAAAACTATTCCTCTGTGTCTCCGGGAGCTGGAGAACAGCCCAGGGTGCTTCTTGTTGGGGAAGCTGGAGGAGATGCAGTCAAGCTGAACTGAGTGCGGCTATTTTGGGCAGCAGTGCCTCACTGCATTTGTCAGCCCACTGCAAGCTCCAACACTTTGCATGCATGTCGTGATAGAAAAGCACGACACAAGTTGCCTGCTCAAAGGAGAAAATCCCGTCTGGAGCCATTACCACCTGCCCAGTAAAGAAAAATCTGTTCTGGACAAACCTGTGCATCTTGGTTGGACTGGAGACTCTGAATCAGTGAGAAAATGACGAAAGCCTCTGTTGCGTGATCCTTCAGTTTGTTTCTCTTCTGCGCTGCGTAAAACGTCTGGATGTACTTCCTCAGCTTTGGGATCTCTGCAACCATGCAAGCAAGGTGGAGTTAGCAGTGCAAGAGGGCAGCACACCTCTTGAAGACTCCAAGCACACTTGTTCCTCCTGCAGAACATCTGGGACAGAAGCGTTTCACAAAGGGTGGCCTGAGAAGGCTGATGGGAGATCTTGGATCTCTAGAAAGGCTTTAAGGATTCATCTTCTGCCACACCACTTTGCCTCGTCTGGCTCAGCATGTAGCCATGTAGATGCAAGCACTGGTCCACCAGAACATGGGGTGGGGATGTGGGAGCCACCAAGACTTGGGCTGGTCCCACAGAACTATATGAGCACCTTGGGGACAGGATGCTGCATGAGAAACAAGGACTGAATGTGAAGTTTTGTAGGTAAGCAAAGCACCAGATAAATTCACGGCCAGTGCAGGCTCCCGCCGAAG